AATGTTTACAGCAGGATGTTAACATAGGACAGGGGCATTATTTATCCAGCAATCTAGCTGAAAGAATGGACTGAACTGAATAGGCTACAATGCTGTAAATGCCATTTTAATGTGTACACAGCTTCCAAGCTGACCAGTATAATTCCAGCCTTGGCTGTAGCAAACTGGAAAAGTATCCATTCATATATGTTGGGTGCCCATACTCCCAGTCGGTCGCCTTGCTTCAGGCCCAGAGCAAGAAGACCTGCAGCCACCTTGTCTACCTGCACCAGAATAAAGATCACAAAAATATTAGACAGTTCTCCACCAAGTGCAGAGTGTAAATGATTAATGATATTCTACAGCCCATAATATGCCTGGCAGATGTGGCTGAGACTCTGTTTAATTTCCTTTTCCAATGCCCAAATTAGTGCTAGAGAGAATTCTTCCTACTTATTTCATCTGAAAACTGGAACAAAACAGCCAAAAGTCATATCATCAAACTACATTTGATAGGAAATGCCACACTAATAGCTTTAACAAGATTCACTTTGTGTCACAGGACTACCACATTTCTTGCTGTATCAAAAGGTCATTAACCTACAAAATTAACACTGAAAGAAAGTGTACAAACCCTTTTAACATACGTAGCTGTGTTCTGACAAGCTGAGCTCACTAATTATTGTACGGGTAAATAACCGGACAGGTTTGCTATACACTGTATTGCATTTCAGTTATTCCTGTAATTATTTAGTTTCTGCTGGGCTGGAGGGGCAGTCAATCCAAAAAACAAATCAACTGAAGAGCAAAGTAAAGTCTGAGACGTACATCTTCCTGAAACTGTGCAAAGGTTTTCCGAACTCCCTCCTCTGGGCAGACCACAGCTTCACGGTCAGGCCAGAGCTTGACTGTGGTTTCCAGGCTCTGACCCACAGTCATGGGGAGCAGAGAGAAGGAGGAGGTGCCATGGACGTAGCTGGTGGTCAGAGAGGGTTTTAGAGGAGCACTGTCCACATGAAGTGACCTGGCAATGAGAACAAAGTTCAGAAAGAAAAAAAAAGAACAAGGTCAAATGTAGCACATACACCATGATCAGAGCATTTTAACAAGCTGCAGATTTAAAGATAATGAAGAAAATGACCATTCATAATATAATATTCCTCTACGCTCCTGAATATTGAGGCTGTTCGATCCTTGTATAGGCCTAAAAAAACAGAGAAAAACTAGTACCATGCCAATAAAATCAGGCGTAGTATCAGTCTTAACGCCAAGAAAAATCAAAGCAAGCAACTTTTTAAAGCAAGGGTTATGACCAGGGATTATTAACTGTCCCACACATACTGTACATGGTCTCTATGGAAAACCACTGCAAAGGTCTTGGTTTTGGAAGCCATTAACGTTACACATGTGACGAGGAGAATTTATTTTCAGAAAATGCTTAATCATTGTTAGAGACAAACAGAACAAATATGGTGCAGTAAATGTCAGTAACCCAGTAAACAGCACATGAGAACAACAAGCATTCACAGTCATTCTGTAGGTGGCTAAGGTCTTAGAGAATCGTTGTTTAATTTGACTATCTCTGGTCAAAAAGAAGAGGAACCCAGTGAGACACTGACTCTGTGGCTGTAATACAAGTGTTAAAATAAACTGTGATCAATCAACAAATGTTGTGTAGATGTAGGCACTTCCAGGTTAGGCAATGTCAGATCTTTGTACAAGATGATACTGATAAATTTTCAAATCATTTAATGTCTCGCAAAGATCATTGTTACTTGATTTATTTATATTTATTGTAAGGAATTACAGACTTCAGTGGGACACAAATCACCATTATTGACCACTGAATTTGAGGAGCACAGACTTACCGGCACCACTGGAACAAGTTTGTGTTGCATGATCTCCAGGTCTGCCTGTGTTTGGATCCATCCACAGATCTGAGACTGCGAGCACAGGACCTTAGCAGTGGGGAACAAATCAGTGCCGCCATAGATATCACACAGTCTGTCTGTCTCGACTTTAACTAAAATCAGTCTTGAATATATCTGGTTAGAAGATACTGAGCCTTAACAAGCACAGAGCAAATACACGAGGTGGTTCTTATTTGCCTATTTATACTTTGCCTGGATTTCATCATTACATGTGTAATATTTAACTTCCAAGAGAGGAA